GTAAAAGACTAGGTCATCTTAACCCACCCCCCCCCCCGGAAAATATTTTCTCCGGGAGAAAACGCCCACTAAAACAGTCAATGTTGTCTAACTTCCTCTTCCCCCCAAGTCCTCTCGCTTCTCTGCCTCTCCCCAATTGCAATCGCAATCACCTGGGGACACTACGCCCTTCCCGGACACCAACGCCTCCGTCCACCACCCGATACCTGCACATGAACCTCTAGCCCGCGGAGTGCGACCCTACGCCCACCACCGCCACCAATAGCAATACATTCACTACCACCCCCATCTCGCACACAGGCCTTCTCGAGCGCACGCTTTGGCTTCGCGCCCCTTCTAGAAAAACGAGTGTGGGTGGAGGAAGAGATTTCAGCCAGTTTTGGGCCCCTGCCTCGGCTAATGGGGAGGAGCTATTCGACGCCTTTTCCACTGGGTGCTAGGTGGTGCGTTCTCCCTGCCAGCAGTGTTTGGGGTGCGGGTCCTGTGGCTAAGAGGGCCAGAGAGGCGAGAGTGGAGTTAAGGATAGTCTCAAAATATTTAAATAAGTGTGTGAAGGAGACGAAAAGGAAAAATAGGAATCAGGGAACGAAAAGAGGACGGAAAAGGCAATCTGGGAGAGAAAAGTTAGTAAAAGAAAGATGTACTTCATTAACGAGCAGGGGATCCTGCCGCTGCCTAAAAAAAAAGTGAGGCTAACCACGATTATGGGATTTGTAGTTTTACCGGGAGTTCGAGTGAAAGAGAGCGGAAGTAACAGCTGCGCAAGCGCAAAAGCGGCTTCTAGCGCGCACGCGCCTCAGTACTGGGAGTTCGCCGCTGGAGGGAGCTGTGGAGCGCGTGCGTGACCTCGCGCCTTTTCTTGGTGGCGGGAAAAGTGAGTCGAGTTTGGAGGGGCTTGGAGAATCGCTGAAATAGCTCACTCTCCTCTTCGCCTTTAGGTCCTCCTGGCTCCAGAAGGTATCTGGCTCTTCTCCCCTTGCAGATAAAGGTGCTAGTTGAGGCCAATCCCGGACCCTTTCGTCTGAGGAGAAGTTTTCTATTCAGGGTGACAACCGGCTCTTATTCCTTTAGAATCTTGAACCCCAGACTCACCCACAACAAACAAACAAAAGTAACTCAATATCATGGCAGGCAACGAAGGTCTGAGGGAGGATGAGGACACTGGTGCTTCAGCGGAAGGGGCAGCTGAGGGAAATTCTCTCATGGTCGGGTTCTTGATGGGGAAGAGAAGCTAGAAAGCCACTATTTTACCCTTTAAGGGGCGTCAAGGGCTTTTGACTCTGTGATACCTCTGATCTTAATTGTTCTGAAGAGAGAATTGGTGAGGGAAGAGAATAAAAATGCAGATCAGCAAATTTTTTCCCCTCTAGTTTTAAAGGTGGAATTAAGGCCTTTTACTATTCCAAATCTTGGTACCCTGAGAGGGAAAATAGTGCGGGGATCTGGAAGTTGATGGAGAATGTACTCCTTTAACTGAAAACGGCACGAAAAGGCTGGTTTGAGGTCGGTAACGGGCACACGTGGGAGCATCTTTGGCAGTAGATAGCAAGTCTGCATGAGATCAGAGTCCTGAAAAAGTCTGTGTTTTGGTGATAAGTGACTATATCTCTGTGCTTCCTTGCACTCTGAATCAAGAAGCTTTAGTTCACCATTAATTTATAGGATTCTATAAAAGGCTTAGTTCAAGTACAATAGGTTTGACAGTAATGCCTTGTTAGGTAGTCTAATATAGGTAGTAGCATAGCTGGAATCTTTTTCCTTCTGTTTTGCTAAAAGTTTTAAATGAAGCTCGCTGAGCACATAGAAAAAACTACTGTTGCTCATCGTGGCATGAAAATAAACAGGGATCTATATGCCATTAGACATTAAAGCCAAAAGGAAATCCAACTCCAGCTTAAAGGAAATTTTAGATATAGTATTTACAATTTTTTGAGGCCCATGGAGTCTGTGTTAGAGGACAATTCTAAAACGTTTACTTTTGTTCTCTTAGACCAAGGATTCCAGGAACAATATAAGGGAATACTTGGATAGTTAGGAAGGGGAACTTTGTGAACACATTCTAAATGGGGGGAGGAGTGAGGAGAATTAATGCTTTTTGAAAAATATTGACAAGACTGAATTAAGTTATGTAGCTAGATCAGTTCTCAGACATGTTGGTCTCCAAAAATTGGTTTACATATATTTATTGGTATTAATATATTAGAAATGAAACAAAAATTTAAACATTTATTAATGCTAAAATAACTAAAACCTTTACTTGTTAACATAACACTTTTATGAAAAATATATTTTCCTAAATGAAAGAAAAGTTAGTTTGAAGGATGGTGTTGTTTTACATTTTTGCAAATATCTTTCATGTCTGGTTTAATAGAAGACAGTTGGATATTTAACTGTTTCTGAATTCAGTCTATTATACAGGCATACCTTGTTTTATTGCACTGCGCTTTATTGCTCTTCACAGGTGTTGCATTTGTTTGTTTGTTTGTTTGTTTGTTTGTTTTTACAAATTAAAGGCAAGACCCTCTACCAGCAAAAATATATAGCTTGCTTTGTTGCAATACTCGCTTTATTATGGTAGTCTGGAACCAAACCCGCAATATCTCTAAAGTATACCTGTATCCTGTTTTGGTTGAAGTATGTGAGAAAATCCAGCAAATAAGTAGTTGGAAAAAAATTTAGAATTTAAAAAATGCAAATAAGTAGTTGGAAAAGGGAGGGGACCCCTGGGAGTCTTTGGATCACACTTTGCAAACTGTATGAGCTAGGTGATTTTATCTTAAAACCAATGTGATAATTTTTAGTGTTTAAGTGAAAGAAAACTTTCTATTTCTTAGAACCTCATTTACCTTCCCTTGATTCTCTTTACTTGTTGTTTCTAAGTTTGTTTCCCCTTCTTATTCACCTTTCTTTTTTATGTTGAGTAAATAGCATATGTTTATGGAACTTTCTTTAACTTTCATACTTGAAGCTTTATTGGATCCTCCTCCCCTCTTTTTCATCTAAGATAAGAAAAGAGAAATTAAAACTTCAAATGTTATTCCTGAGTCTAGAGTCCCCATTATTTCGTAGCTGGTCAGATGAAAATTGGTGGTGTTTTGTATATTTATTAACTGTCTTTTAAATTTTTTTCTCTCTCTGAACTAGATTTCGGTATTTGTTATTGGGGAAGAAAATAATTAGTCTGAAACAGAAAAGCAGAGACTTGAGTTGTCAGGCAGTGACTTCCTGGCTTTCTCTTCTCTATTGATCAGGTTAGTAATGTTCTTCATTACGCCCCCACTCTGGATAAAGAGAAACTGTTATATATCGCTGCTTATAGATTTACTACATCTTTTTAACTCAATAATGATTTACAATTTTATTGTTTTTTGAGGTTCCAGTAACGTACTTTTGCCTAGAGAGGTCAGTATAGGCTTAGATAATGATTTGAACCTAATTATTGGCAAATGTTTGCATTTTCAGGTTGATCAAAATACTTTTTATTTAAAAAATTTAGAATTTAAAAAATCACTTTGGAAGTGGCAATATATGTATGTTATAAAATGCTAGCGATGCACAAGAGATACAGTAAAAAGCTCCCTTCTGCCCTCAGCCACATGGTTCCACTCTCTAGATGTACCTTTGTCAGATTCTTCCAGAGATAATTTATGGATATACAAGCATATTTTGTAGATGTACATTTTTAAAAATCAAATATTGTCATCTCAAATATAGTAATGTTCACTTTTTATTTAGTATAGTTCTTGCAATTTAGATTATCTCCATAGGGACTTCTAATGATTATTTCTGGAATTCTGGGATCTGAGAGAAGATATGTTGGTCATTTGTGCTTAAATTAGTATTCCTTTTGTAGTCAATTTTATTCAGTTTCTAGCTTCTATTTAAGATTATAATTAAGAAGGAGGCCAATTTGCTGTAGTGTTTCTCCCCCAATTTCCCATTGGCCTTTTTTCGTGGAGCAAATACGTTTGGGAGTTGGTAATAATGAGTTAAGATGAAAAAAGAGAAAAAATGTGCTCCTTAATATAAAGGAAAAGTAGTTACTGCAGAATAGCACATCTGAATTATTTACATTTATAGAATCAAGAAAAGGAACAGAAAAATACTAAAAGATAATTTAAAAATGTTTTACACTCAGCTATGCTTTGGCCTTAATAGGTCAAGCCCCAACACCTTTTGAATTCATCTTGGGAAATAGGGAGAGGAACTCTACACCGTGAACAGCTGAGTGTTTACTATAGCCTGGCCATTTGAGGGTCTTAACATTTTTAGATCCTTTAAAGAGAACTGTATATGAACTAAAAGATCCATTTTATGCTGTTTTTGGGTCTCTATAGTGGAAGATGATAGAGTTGGCGGATTGGGTTTCAGGTCCAGGACCTTCAAAGTACTCAAAACCAACAGCCAGAAATAAGATCATTGAGAAGAATAGACATGCTATTAGTAGAATTTAGAATCTGAAGTTCTGGGTTGATCTTGGCTTTACTATGTATTAACTCTGAGGCTTTGAGCAAACCATTTAACCTCTCTTTGCATATTTTTTCATTTGTAAAAAAGGGAGATGGCATTTTATGACCTCTAAAGATCCTATCAGAACTACAATGTTTATTATAGCTGTTACAAAAATAAGAGTGAATTACATGCTTTAAGCCTAAAGAAAACTGGGTAGAGGGTTATAAGAAGTTTAGGCTGATAAAACAAAAGGCAATTCTCTTCTAATGGCTGGAAAGAAATAATATTAATAGTGGAAAGTGTAAATTGGAAAATGTAAAATTATTGGAATATCACAAGATGAGTCTTGGCACTCTCTGCTGGGCCACAGATGATTTGTGTGGGTATATTAATCTCTTCAGCATTTGATGTGACTGGAGGCTTCTCACTCCCATCCCTCATGCTGTGAATAGTCTGGTCCTTTTACTCTAGAGTACTTAGAAATATAATTTCCATATGTTTCGATGGGTACTTTCATGCTTTTTGTGTGTGCTAAGAGATTAAAAAGGTTGGGAAGCACTGAACTAGACTATTGGGATTTAGTTTAGCAAAGTTAATAGCACAGACTTAAATCAGGTTCTAATCCTGATTTTACCACTTGTCAATTACTTAATATCTTTAAAGCTCTCTAAGCCTCAATTGCCCTAGGTGGTTTTATCTTATAGATTTATTGTGAGAATTAAACAAGATGACATATGTAAAGGGTAAAGAACATAGTCAGTGCTCAAAAAGTGTTATTCATTATTATTGGTTACAATTTTGGTAGTAATAATAAAACATATTGATGTAGTATAGAACATCTGTGAGTAGATAGCCACAGATGAGCTATGGATATAGAGTGAAGATGCTAGATTTTTATTACTAGATTCTCTGAGGATCTCAGCTGGTTATGAAATATTTCTGAGCCATGAATAATGATGCTAGAATCCAGCACATTGGGAAATGTATTGGACTAGAAGATCTAAATAAAGGGAAAATATAAATTTTAGTGGTGATAAAAAAGGGCGTTCTCTATGCATAGGGACTTTCGAATTAGGTCAGAGAATTGCCAAATTGTTTTTTAAGCATTTAACTTGTGAAATGAGATTATTTCTGTGAAGAAAACTCTCACTCTTTAACTCCAAGAACCATCCATATCCTACTACTACTATTCTACTACGATTTATACTTACATCTGTTAAAAACAAGACAACAGGCTCATAATTGAGTTTCTAATGCTAAGCTCCATGCCACCAAAGCAAGACTTAATTTAATTACAGTTTCAGCTCTCTTAGAAATGGAATATTAAACCAGTCAATCAGGAATCTCCTGATTAGCACTAGTTAGGTAATCTGCCTGATAGACTCCTTCTATCCCATAAAGGAAAGTAACCTTGCAATAACCAATCAACTTTTTTGCCTGATATAACTTCCTTGTTCCTCTCTGTTCAGCCTATAAAAGTCTTTTATTTTGTGTGTAGCTCCTTGGAGCTCCTTTCTATCTACTAGATTTGTTGCTGCCCAATTCGTGAATCATTGAATAAAGCCAATAAGATCTTCAAAATTTACTCAGTTGAATTTTTTTTTAACACATCACTACCACTACCACTTCTACTTACTGATGAGTGTGTACCTCATATCGGACATAGTTTTAAGCACATAAAGGACTAAGATTATTGCTAATATTTAAAACAGTAACTCTCTTTATCCCCTGGCATGTAGTTGGTACTGCTGAGGAGATAGAAGTGTAGTCAAGAAGGCAGAAAATGTAGTTCAAGGGTCCCAGGAAAAGATATCTTGAACCCAAGAAAAGACAGGGAAAGAAGAAGGTTTAAAATCATGTTCAATCAGAGTCATAGTTAATTTCTTTTTTTCTAACAAGGATACAAAGAAAGTAATTTCTGAGCTGAATGATGACAGCGTTGCAGAGTAAAGAAGGTGAGTCAAGGATGAGGGAGGTTCACTTTGTACATTTCTCTCATTTTTCCCTTCTGTCTCAGCTCTTGGACATCTGGACCAAGGGGTCCAGATGCTCACCAAAGGGAAGCTCAGTGCACATATATTTTGTATCCACTCCGTTAAAGTTACTACATTTCTAGATATTTTGAGTGAAATATATATGAGTTAGAAACAGTCCAGTTCAAGGAATGTATGAATTCTTAGGGAGATAAAAGACATTTCAATATCTATAACATAAATTTGAATGGGGTGAATGTTATTAGACAAGTTCAAAGTGTTATAGAAGCTCAGAAGAAAGAGGTATTACTTATACCTGGGAGGATCAATACAATTTTTATTGTCATCATTTGTAGGTTTTTACTAGTTTTTTCCTCTAATTTCCCATAAAATTTTGTCCAAAGTTAAAAAGAGCAAATTAAAAAAAGAAATCACAGTTGAATAATTCAGTTTCCTATATGCTTATGTTTATGTTTGAATTACTCAGTGGTTCCTAAGCCTGGAAGTATATCAGAATCAGATAGATAGACTTGTAAAATTACAGATCCTTGGGCCTCATTTTAAACTACTTCATCAGAATCTTAGGGCAGGGGTGTGAGGGTGGGTAAGGAAAGGCCCAGAAATCTGAATTTGTTAAAATCTTTCTTCAGATAATTCTGATATGGCCAGTCAATGGGCGATGTTTGGCAGTCTCTGTGTTAGATGGTATGTTTCACAAATTCTATCTGATGATCAAATTTCTTTCAGAATATGGGAAAGGATCAAAAAAATCTTTTGCCCCACCTGCCCAAAAACTGCATAGCTTGATTCCCGATAGCCTTAACTCACCCAAAGAGGAGACCCTGGGCATCAGTTCCCTAGAGACAGAGGCCAGGCCAAACTTACTAAAGGCCAGGTTAAAGAAGAAGGAGAAAGCAACCACAGAGAATGGTTCAAGCAATGGCCAGGAGAAAAAAATAAAGGCTCAAGACAACAAGCAAAAGGAGAAGAAAGAAAAGGTATCGGTCATATTGATGGGCTCTAGTGGGACAGTTTCTCCTAGTCATCCAGCCTAGACAAAGAGAATCTTTTCATGTTGAAACTGTAGTTTCGGTTTCTTATTCCTTTTTTGGGACTTCCATTTTTTTCTTAAAGAGGTAAAAAATGTTTTGATGAAAACATTTAGCAGGAAATAATGGGTAGGTAAGGGTGAGGCGGGATAGAGATGAATAGAAGTGGACAGAAATTGTATCAACTTTTTCCTTTTCTTTGACTCCTTTATTCCCAGGAGACCTGGGATAGAGTTTATGGAGTCCTTAAATATGTTCATCGACTTCATGTTTTCAGCCTTGTGAACATATTGCTTTATCTAAAGGAGGCTTCCTTGATTGGCCAGAGAGGAGGACTGGGGAAAGATGAGCAGTTTTCCTTTCCTACCTTTGTCTCTGCAGGAAAAATCAAGTCTTACCAATGCAGAATTTGAGGAGATTATCCAGATTGTGCTACAGAAGTCCCTCCAGCAGAGCTTGGGTATGCTTCTAGTGAAAAAGAGTTTCAGTTAGGCAGATAAACTGTTACCTGAGGTGTAGTAAGCTGACAGCTTTGCTCCTTCTCTCTTTCTTCCTAAGTAAGAAAATATTTTAAAATGGAACTTTAAAATATTTTTAAATATTTCATCTTCTATCAACAGCACGATAGCTAAACCACCTTAGATAAGGGATACTGATTTTTTAAAAAGTAGATTATGTGGACTTCAGAATGCAAATATAGTCTCTTCTAGATTTTTAAAATGTTATTTAAATTCATTTTTGTATGTTTACAATCTACTTAGAAAAGATAAATGTTTTTTCCAAGGTTTGAAGGACTTAGTTTCCACCTATCCTTGTATATTTTTTGTTTTCAATACGTTTTGACATATGCTCAGGAATTTGATTTTTAGAATAAAGAACTCTATAGCATAGGCCTTGAGACCTTCTCCGTAAGGTGGTCATGAGACTAAGGAGAATGATCTGACATTTTCAGCTATTCTTAGGTGTACTTCTGTTCATAAAGAAAGTTTGAGGAACAGATGATATAAAACACAGTACACAAAATAAAACTGACATTACTTGGCTATCTTGGAATGAGGCAGATCAATCTGGAAAGGCTTGAGGAAAGACATAGATTTGTAGTTTTCCTGAAGATTGAAAGACTTAAATTCTTATGATATAACAAAAGTCCAAAAGGAAGCTCTTCCAAGCAACAGGAGGTAGACATTTTAATGAAAGTTTACAGTTTGGAAATAATGAGGTAGTTATTTTCCTGAATTGCTTCTCTGCTTATAGTATTTTGTTTTGGGAGGGATGGAATCTAGCCTTGGTTTTCCAGAGACTTCCTGTGCCCAGCCTATAAGATATACCCAGTTTGACAAGGAACCAGGAATTACTTCTTCTACTACTGATAATGATAATGCTGATGGGTAAGTTTATCCCTATGGAACAAGTTGATCACAGGGTAGCCTTAATATTAGTAAATTGTTGTGTCTGTCTGTCTATCTGTCTGTCCGTCCATCCGTCCATCTGTCTGTCTGTCTGTCTATCTATCTATCTATTTATCTATCTATCTATCTATCTATCTATGTCATTTTTTTATATTTATAGATTTCTCTCAGCTCAGGAAAGATACCTGTTTGAATTGGGAAAAATAGGCAAGTCGATGGATAAAATGACCTCAGGAGGCCTAAGAGAGCCTAGGATTCTTCTGTCCTCCTAACTTTTATCCTTGGATTTTTTTTCAAAAGAAGGGTACTGCAAATTGCTCCTTTTTACCTTTTCATTAAAAATAATTTTATTTTCAGAGAGAGGGTAATGGTACCTCATATTCTAGAGATTTCAGCCTCTCAGGAAGGTGGAGTAATCCCTGAGATAAAGATGTCTAAGCCAGGCCAACCAGATCCTGCACCCTCTGAGAAGAAATTCAATAGACTTTCCTTAAGCAAAAGAAAGAAAGAAGCTCGTAAGTATTGTCACATATATTTTGACATCTGGTTCAAATATTTAATTCATCAAATTAGAGAATAGGACAATAGTCAGGCTGAGAATTTTCAGCCCAAGACTTGAAATTATCACACTATAATTCTTCCTTCTTCCTGTTTTACTATCTACAAAGAATGTCTCCCTCATTTCCCTACTTTACAATGTTTTGTTTTGTCTTTACATAAGATGAGAAAATGAAGAAAGCCCAAAGTGAACATAAGCACAGACAGAAAGACCAACCGAAGAAAATGGTTCAGGATCATTCTCAGTTCACGGACCAACAAAAAAGAGAAGAAAGTGGTTTTGGTGAGTTCAGCCATGGTTTGAAAGAACTACTTGGGCTTGAAAACTGGAGATGGCAGAGAGAGGCAAGGGTTAGAATGTTAGAGGAAATTTTGCAAAGATTATAATTAATCTCTCATAGCTACTTGTTAGAGGGTATGCTGCTGAGGAAGAGAGAGAAAGATTTAATTCATTCAATTATTCATTCATATAATTCATAGTTGTTGGGTGCCTATTATATACCAGGTATTTTCGGAGGTGCTGAGTAAGTGCAGAGGAAATGAATATAAGCCTGCCACAAGGGAGTTAGGCTTCTGAAGAAGGCAGACGAGAAAGCTACAAGTTGGAGTAGACCTGGAAAAGATATTGCTTGAGCCAGATCTTGAAGTATAATTTAGTTAAGTGAACCAAAGTGAGAATGGGGGAGGGGAGATCAGAGTGATAATTACTGGCAGAGTTATACAGGAGGGCTAATGGTTGTAGCTTTTGTGTATATTGTGGGATAAGAGGTTGCAGAGGTGGGGGAGATAAGGCTAGAGGCATGCAGGGCCAGATCATAAAGGCTTTACATGTGAAGCTATGGAATTTGGATTTTGTTTTAAAGGTAAAGAGGAACCATTGACATTAAGTGGGGAAAACTTGATAAGATTTACATTTTAGAAAGCTCACTCTGGCACTAGCATGGAATATGGATTCATGGAAGCAAGACTAGACCCATAGAAATAGTGATCCAAACAAAGGAGATAGATAAGTAACAGTGAAGAGGAAGAGACTAATTTGAAATCTTTAGGAGACAGGATTAATATGACATGGTTGCCAGTTGGATATGAGAGGAAGAGTAAAGCCTCTAAGATGATCCTGTTTTCTGGCATGAATGACTAAGTGGCTAAAAGAACTATGATCTGAAAGAGAGAATATAGAAGAAAGAGCAAGTTTAAAATGATGAATTCAGCTTTGGACAAATTAGGGGGTCTGCGATGAGATTTAGAGTTCAAGAAAGAGGTCTGGCACATAGATCAATGGGATTGAATAGAGATCCCAGAAATGGACCCACGTCTATATGGTCATTTAATCTATGACAAAGGAGGCAAGAATATACAATGGAATAAAGACAGTCTATTCAATAAATGGTGTTAAGAAAACTGAACAATTACATGCAAAAAAAAAAAATGAAACTGGACCACCTTCTTACACCATATATAAGAATAAACTCATAATAGAGTAAAGACTTAAATGTAAGACCCCAAACCATAAGACTCCTAGAAGAAAACATAAGCAGCAAACTCTCTGACATTGCTCTTAGTAAATTTTTTCTGATATATCTCCTTGGGCAAGGGAAACAAAAGAAAAAATAAACAAATGAAACTGTATCAAAGTAAAAAGGTTTTGCACAGCAAAGGAAACTACCACCAAAATGAAAAGACAACCTACCAAATAGAAGAAGATATTTGCCAATAATACATCTGATAAGGGGTTAATAGCAAAAATTTATAAAGAACTCATATAACTCAACACCAGAAAAACAAACAATCCAATTAAAAAATGGGCAAAGGACCTGAATAGGCATTTCTCCAAAGAGAACATACAGATGGCCAATAGACATATGAAAAGATGCTCAATGTCACCAATCATCAGAGAAATGCAAATTCACACAACAAAATAGCACCTCACACTGTCAGAATGGCTGCCATCCATAAATGAAAAATAAATATTGCTGAGGACGTGACAAAAAGGGAACCCTTGTGCACTGTTGGTGGGATTGCAAATTGGTACAGCCACTATGGAACACTTCGGAGGTTCTTCAAAAAATTAAAAATAGAACTACTTTATGACTCAGCAATTCCACTTCTGGGTATTTATCCAAAGAAAACCAAAACACTAGTGCAAAAAGGTGTATGCCTCCCTATGTTCACTGCAGCGCTATTTATAATAACCAAAATATGGAAACAAACTAAATGTTTATCAATAGATGATTAGATAAAGAAGAAGTGGTACACATATACAATGACATTACTCAGTCATCAAAAATGAAAACTAACCATTTGCAACAACATGGATGAACTTAGAGGGTATTATTCTAAGTGAAATAAGTCAGAGAAAGACAAATACCATATGATTTCACTTATACATGTTATCTAAGGAACAAAATAAACTAACAAACAACAAAAACAGACTCATAGATACAGAGAACAAACTGGTGATTGCCACATGGTGGGGGTTATGAGGCTGGGTGAAAAAGGTGAAAGGATTAAGAAGTACAAATTGGTAGTTACGAAATAGTCATGGGTATGTAAAGTACAGCATAGGGAATATAGTCAATAATGTAATAACTGTATAGTGCCAGGTGGGTACTAGACTACTCAGAGGGATCATTCATAAATTACATAAATATCTAATCACTATGCTGTGCACCTGAAACTAATATAGCATAATATTGAATGTCAACTCTAATTGAAAAGTAAAAATTAAGAAAAAAGAAAGGAAGAGGTCTGGGTTGGAAATAGAGATGTGGGAGTCATCTGCATCAGTAGGAATTGGTGAAATTTTCCAAGAAGAAAGTGTAGAGAGAGAAGAAAAGAGCATTGAATAAAAAACCCTGGGAGAAAATAATGTTTAGGGTTGAGCAGAGGAAGAGCTGCCTAGGGAGAAAACTAAGATGAACTAAGAGAAAATTCTGAAAGGTAGAAGGAAAACTAGGGGAGTATGTTATTACAGATGCCAGGGGAGTAGAGAATTTCAAGAAGGGGAATATTTAGCTTTGTCAAATGCTACTATAGAGACACCAAAGAGGATAAAGAGTTGAAAATGTTTAATGGATATCACAATTAGGAAGTAGTTAGGGTCTTGATTAGAGCAGTTGGTAAGGATGAATGGCAGGTTATAGTTGGTTGAAGAATACTTTTTCAATTAGTTTAGATGTGAAAACTAGGAGGGAGAAAATGGTAAATAAAGGGGGAAATGGGGGTAGAGTTGAGGAAAAGTTGTCCTTTTAAAAAAAGTATATGTAGCCTGTGCGTTGTGAGCGTATTTATATGCCCAAGGAAAATTATTTGTAGAGAGAGAGAGATTGAAAGGAGTGAGAGGAGAACTAGAGGATTTATTTTTAGTTAGAAAGGACAACTTAGCCTTTGAGATTGGATGGAGGGAAGGTAAGGGTGGATATAGATTTATTTATTCTTTTAACAATAGATATTAATGCCTTATATTATGTACCAGGCACTGTGCTAGTTGCCGGAATTATAGTGTTGAACAAAATAGATAATTTCTGACTTCATAGAATTTACAGTTTTAGTGTATTACACAGATAATAAATATTTTATAGGAAATAACCTTGGTAATATTGGGAAATTTTAGAACAAGAAATAAAGTAGATCGTACAATATATTAGTATGTTTAACATTTTGAAAATAAGTAGACTTAGGTATCTGGAGGAAAACAGCCTTGTGCCAAAAAAACAGAACTTAAAATGTAAGGAACAATGGAATAAACAGTCAGCTAGTGTCTAATAAAATGTATGTATATAAGTTTAATTATAGAAGCATAATATGGTTTGTGCACACTTGAAAGAAAACTCTAGAAAGACTATGCAGGCACCAAACAAGGTAGTTCAGGGCAATAAACTGCTCCTCGTGTTATTATGACATGATAATATAAGGAACTAGAAGAATTGGTCTAATTTGGGCAGTTGGGTGGTCTGAGTGGTATTGATCCATCTCCTGAACCTCTCAGTATTAGGGCAAGATGAAAATTCACCCCTTAGGAAGTGCTTATGAATCGAATTGTGATTATAGTTAATGTATAAACTTCTTGCTATAGAAGAACACTGTTTCTTACAGTTGCCAAGGAGAGGTGAGTCTTCCTGGAGTAGAAAATAGAAAGGGGAATATCTGATAAATACATTCAATTTGTGTTAAGTACTGGGAAGGAAACAAATGGAGTATCATGAGAGGAAATAATGGAGACCTGATTAAGACTGGGCCAGTCAGGGAATACATTTGTAAGGAAATGACATTTAAGCTGAAACCTGAAGGAAGAGTGGGAGTAGGAGAAAGAGTTTGAGGTAGGATGAAGTTTGGCATATTCCAGATACTAAAAGAAAGCTGGTGTGATTGGTGTTCAGAGAGCAGGGGGAAGCAAGGCAGGAAAGTGGCTCTGGATAAATATAAAGAGGTAGGTAGTAATTAGATCAAATACCATATTACGAAGTGAGAATTTTATTCTAAGTGTATTGGGAAGTCACTGGTAAGTTTTAACAAAGGGAGTGGCATTATTAAATTAATATTTTAAAAAGATTCCTTTGGTGATTAATTGGAGAATAAAGTATGGGAGAACAAGAGTAGATGAGTTAAGAAGTTAGTGCTAGGATCGGATAATTTGGTGGCTTGGATTAGGAGGATGAAAGTGGAGACAGAGAAGTGAAGAACTTAGTAGTGAATTGAATATGGGGAGTGTTATTCTGGCTTGAGCAGTTACATGAAAGGAGGTAGAGAAAGGTGGAGGAAAAGCAAATTTTGGGAATAAGATCAAGCGTTTGGGTTTGGGCCCTTTAGGTTTGAGATCATTGTGAGACATCCAAATAGAGATGTCAAAGAGCAAGGTGGCTATAAGTATCTGGACCTCAGAACAGAGGCTGTTATAATACATCTCTGTGTTGTCAGGTATGAAAATGGATTTCAGAGTTATAGGAACAGGAAAGCTTGCCTCAGGAGAAAGTATAGCATGGAGCAAACACCCATGATTGGGCTTTGGAGCCCCAACATTTAGAGATTGAATGAAGAACAAGGAGAATTCAGTAAAGGAGACTGAGGAGGGTGAAGTACTGAGGAGGGAGCTGCCAGAAAGTTGGGGAGGGAGGACGGGAGAATGAGGGATCATAGAATCCAAGGAAACTGGTGTTTTAAGAATGAATGGTCAATTGAAATGCTTTTAACATGTGTCTATGATATCAGTCTTCATTACCATAGAGTCACATTGTGAGCCTCAAACATAATTTTCAAACATATTATCTTCTCTTTCTATGTTGTTTGAAAGGAAACTCTTAAAAACTGTTTATTGCTGTCATTGGAAATTTCATCCCAAGCCATAGATATCTAGTTTTCTATCATTAGGATGATTTTTTCCTTACTCATTTCCTCATGAATATTTGTTTTGTTGATCTGTGTTTACTTTTATGGTCCCTAGACCCTTCTTCTATTCTTACTTTCTAGTCTTGTTAGATCATCTCTGTAAACATCTAAAATTATCATTGGCAATGTCTTTTCAGACTAATATATCATTCCCAACAACTACTTAATTTCTTCAAAATTAAGTAACTGAGAAAGTGACCCATAATATGCTTTTCTGAGGGATGATTTCAGTGGGATGGAGGGCATTCCTTATGTTCAGGCATTTAAGGTAAAATTTGACAATGGGAGAGTGGACTTACTAGGGAAACATATTAATTGGTGGTGTTAATTATGAATATATAGTGCCTGGTTTTGTGATTTTTCTCTAGCAACATTCAATTTAAAGAATGTAGATACAGAAAGGTAGAGTGGGTTGTGTTTTACCAGCTGGGTAGGAGGAAGGACAGAGGGAAAGGGAGTTGAAGATGCCTGCAAGACAATCTAAAGAATCAAACCTGAGTAAGTACACAGAAAAGAGCTTGCTACTAGATAGAGGGAAGGTAGGATCCAGTGGATCAGAGATCTAGACAAAGCAAAAGTTTCTGTAGAGGTCTTTGAGCAAGTAAAGTGAAAGGATAGGTGGATAAGTGATTTAAGGGAGTGTGTGGTCCCTGCAGATGACTGGGAGGGGCATGTAAGAGCAGGAGTGGGTTACTCAAGGGAAGTGTGGTAACTGAGGTGGTGCGGAGGAAAAGGTCAAGGAATTCAAAGAATGGAGTGCTTTGTGAATTACCCCTGTGGAAACAGTGGTCACTTGGAATAAGGGCAGGAGGTAGAGAGGAGAAGGCTGAACCAGATGCCAGAATCTTTACGAGGAAGATGAGAGGGCAGTGTGGTTCCTTGCACGGACCTCAAGGGAGGAATGGTTTTTGTAGAAAGGAGGATAGTAATGGTCTGGAAGTGGCAGTGGGGAGTAAGGATGATGCTGACTCCATTTTCTGGTCTGAGAGACATGAGATGTATGAGAAGGAACCAGTTCCACTTAGAGGGCTGAGGGTGGGGGTGGTGTCAAGTAGAGGCAATGGCAGTATATCACCAGGTTTCAAAAAGGGGATAGAGGTTCATAGAAGAGGTCGAGGATATGTGGACTTTGGTTGCTTTTGTCTGGAATTCAAAAGAACATAGAGGAACAGTTTGGAAGGGGCAAAGGAGAGGCTGTTTGGGGCACTGGTCAACTTAGAAAATGAAGGGATAGAGAAAGATGGGGATGAGTTTGGAAGGTAATGGATGAAAGGAGTGCTTTGTCTTTTAGCAGGGCCTGAAGTAAATAGTTGATTGAGAAATGATGAACTTAAACCTGAGTCTTTTGAAGGGGGTTGAATTCAGGGCTCTTGGTACCAAAGGTTGCAACTTGGTGATTTGGTGTCAGGTAAATCAGTTGAGATTCAGATAGGAACTCTGATGTGCGCAAAAGATGCTGGGTAACCCTTCAAAAGAACTTTTCAGTATTGACATGCTAGCAGAGAATAAGGAACTAGCTAAAAAGATACCAGCTAACCTTTTAAAGAACTCCCAATACAGGAAACATTCCTTTCTGCCCTAGGTGGAGGAGAGACAATAGCATGGTATAGTAGGAAGACTGAAATGTGAGACCTGGGTTGTAAGTTCAGCTCTGCCACCAATTTAGACTTATCTTTAGCAAGCCAATTAGCATCTCTGAGCCTTAGTTTTTCTATTTATAAGTCAAGGATTGAACTAGTTGATCTCTAAGGCTATGTGACTCTGGTGGATTTTTAGTTGGATTGAAGAAGGAAGAGAATGTTTTTGAGTCTCTCATTTCAGTTTCTTTTCCCATCACAGGTCAATGTCTAGTCTGGGTCCAGTGTTCTTTCCCAAATTGTGAGAAATGGAGGCGGCTTCGTGGGAACATTGACCCCTCAGTCCTTCCAGATAATTGGTCCTGTGACCAGAATACAGGTAGAATAGAGTCAAAATTTTTGTTTTTATGTTTTTATTGTTCTACTCTTTCTTTCTCTGCATGTTTTTTTAGATTAAATATGTCATAGGTATAGTTTCAACTCCAGGGGTTCTTGTAATGTTTGTGAGAGAGATAAATCAAGATAAATCTGGCATAATGGGTTAGAAGAAGACACCCTGAAGACTTATGTTGTGGGAAGGGCATGGAACTTAAATGTATGTTCTGAATGAATTCCATCTTCTTCAGCATTGGTCAGACCCTGTCAATCCTGCTTAGATTATCATTATTGGGTTGGTGGTTAGGAAGGGATATGGGATATATGGAGAAAAGCAGGTGAGAGAGATCTAGTGGCTTAAAAATTCTAAAATGTTTGAAACTACTTTGAAGAGATTATGATAATCTAGTCCAGCCCAATTATTTTACAGATGAGAAAACAGTCTCAGAGAAATTACTGTCGTGATGTTACATAGATGGAAGCAGGGTCAGACAATGGGATATAGGCAGAAGTTTGGAATCTCTTTCTATAGAGTGTAAGGAGGCAGCACTCCTACTTTTCCTGGCCTTAGGCTGGATTTCTTCTCTGGATCTTTGTTCTTTTTCCTCCATGCCTGTCTCCCAGGTGTCCTTTTGGGCCCACCTGCTGCGTATACCAGTTTCTTGGCCTATCCCCTGTCATCATTTAGATTTTCACCTCATGAGGCTCTTTCCTTCCCTTCATTACTTTTCTCTTTTGGCAGACTTGGAGTATAATTGCTGTGACATCCCTGAGGAGACCTGGACAGGGCGTGAGAGTGATGTGGCCTATGCCTCCTACATTCCAGGATCCATCATCTGGGCCAAGCAATATGGTTACCCCTGGTAGGGCACCATAGTATAGTTAGAACATCCTTCATGAACTTAAGAATGGTAGATTAAAACAGGGAAAGAAATGGAAAGCATTTATAATGGAAATGATATCTGCCTTAGAAAGAACATGGGGTAGGGGAAAAATAAAGTACCAAGCTTAGAGGCTTTTGAAAAACGTATATTCTAGAGGTTTCACAGAGGAGGTTGTACCTCCCTGGAAAAAAGAGTCTGACGGTTCTACCCCAAGTGGGTAGAAAGAGGAGGGTTGCTCCAAGGCATTTTTTAAACCTTGAGATATGAGAATTATACAAAATAAAGAGAACATGGAAGGGTAGGATGGATAATTTCTTTGGAAATGTCCTTTGTCAGAAAATTTTGTTCTCAGGTTTCTGGAAGGCCTAGAAGGATAAGATACTTTTACTAGGAAGATTCTGAGCCTTATTTGTACATTGATGGAAGTCACTTCACTTACTTGGTAGTGAGCTCTGGAGGAGATTGACCATGGTGAGGGGTGGTCTATCTTTGAGACCCTTTGCTTGCAAAACACATTGCTTCTTTCTGTACATGTATATTGGTGACTTTGCATTCTGATCATCTAAACCCTTCCCTTCCATCCCCTATTCCCATCTATCTTCTTCAGGTGGCCAGGCATGGTAGAATCTGATCCTGACCTGGGGGAATATTTTCTTTTTGCTTCTCATCTTGATTCCCTGCCGGTGAGTTTTCCTAGTTCAGGGTAGGTAGGCTCAGGCCAAAGTAATGAACAAATCCATCCTGAAGGATGTAGAGAGTTAGAAACATAGATAGCCAGCAGACACGAACAGAAACAGACATTTAGCTAGAGTGACAAACACAGAAATAAGTATTCACATATAGAAGCAAACTTGTATCTAATTAAATAATTCATTACTAGGATGTTTATGATTTTCATAAATATGCTTTGGTTAGAATTCTTGAGATCAGAATGGAAGAATAATGGAATGAGGTGGGGTAGGTGGGTCAGGCTTAAGGGAGCAGGTAAGATCCATAACCTCCTTCCTCGTTACTCTTCAATTCTTTCCCTGTCTTTTCTGGTTAGAGTATCAAGCAAGGAGGATGAAAGTCCATAACAGTGCCATCTTTTATTTCAGTCTAAGTACCACGTGACATTTTTTGGAGAAACAGTTTCTCGTGCTTGGATCCCAGTCAACATGCTAAAGAACTTCCAGGAGCTGTCTCTGGAGTTGGCTAGAGTGGTGAGCAACCCTTGGGGGTCAGTTGTATACAAGGAACTTGAAAACTAAACCTTCCCTTTATTAAACCTGATTTTCTCCCAGGGGAAGCTATTTTGGGGGAAAGTCCCATGTCTGACCAAGTGCACAAGGTTAAGATTATTCATGAGGGACTCTTCTTTCTACCAGAATTTCAGC